GGGGAGGTTAGGGTTCTAGTTCGGCATGGTTACTTGCTGAAATGGTGGCAGGTAATCTCACATTAGCGGAATTTTTACTACTGCTGAGATAGAGGACTAGTATTAGAGAAAACAAGTCGTTTGTGTCGAACACTTTAGTTAACCTTTGTCATGTGTGTAATATCCTGGGGGAAATTTATACTGAACTCATTCTTCGTAGTTTAGGCCTAAAATCCGTATTTGCTATTAATGAAAGATTCACGAAAATTTAAATGTCAAGTGACTTGCGGATTCAAATTATTTCAAGAAATAGCATTTGCACTTTATTGAATTACTCTATCCAAGTACATATTTTTTCAAAGAAGCAGCAAATTTTGGAGAGAGGTTGGTATTGTTGATAATTCTGCTTTGGAAAAACATCTAACCCTCGCCCTGAGCGTCATAGAGACCCATCGGTGGTGGTGGTGGGGGGAGGGTGGTGGGGTGGATTCGACTCTTTTGCTAAAATTAACCTGTTCGTTTGGTTATTCCGCTTACTAAGCTTACGCGGTGGTACTCGAAACCGAAATTTTTGAAGGCCTTTCCTTGACCTTCTTCCAACTCTTTCCGTTTCGATTTTTTTCTTCTTTTTCGACGTTCATTGTTTTTTGTTCACCAAAATGAGGGGATTATTATAAATTGGCAAAGGATCCTTTTGGTAACTGGGTTCCTTGTGCATTTGTGTGTGTGTATGTGTGTTCACATCTAAATGGGTTTAATGCCTTTGTTTTTACGCTTTGATGTGGTGAATGTTTGACCCTAAATGTCATAATTTTCTCTTTGGTCTTCTGAATTTTGTTACAATAGAAAGTCTAAAATGCTATCTGTGCTCTTATCATTTCGAAAACTAGAAAATTTGGCTTTAATTGTTTCATGTCAATGGTGCTGATGGACATGGAATGAGAATGGTACGGTTATTATCTGAGGTTTGGAAAAACCTAAAGTTAATATTTTTCGCCTAAATGTGGTGGTATGATGTATTTAACGTAAGCTTCAGCATTATGGCATATAAATAATTAATATTTAATGAGTTTCATTGCCTATGGTGCAGCAATGATCAAATTAGGAATTACTATTCTCGTAACTACCATTCCATACTCGAAAATTTAGATAGCTCAGCTCGATTGTTAAGTGTAATTTACAAGGAATGTGGGAGATTTGGCTTTTCTCACCTTCAGGGCTCAATGAAATACGCCATTTAAACACGATTGGGGGGGGGGGCGGGAAGGGGGGGGTGGAAAACGCTTTCCTTGACGTGTTTATGAGATCGAATTACTGTACAAACGTTATATGTGCATATCGGCAGAGTTGTGGGGGATTAACTCCTCAGGAGTTATCGATTCGATTGATTAGCCGCTCCTTTTTCCCACTAAAAGTTGTCTTTCACCTAGATTCTTTGTGTTGATGTTACGTTCATTATGCGTATTTGTCTATTAAGCAAATTCCTTAAATTCTGTTCTTAATCCACATTATCTTGCTACCTGTGTTGTGGATCTTGTGACTGAATAAATAAACAGTCTTTTCAGCTCTGGATTGTTTACGAGGCAATTTTTTAAATTATTTTGGCCTTGGGAACTGTGCTAACATATGTTTGTTCCAAGAGTGTTTTTTACTGTTTCAATAATCTATTTTCCGTTTACGTTGAGGCTAGGCGGCATTTATATTTTTCCCTAATTCACTGAATTAGCGGCAGTGGGGCGGTGTGGGGGGGGGGGGGGGGGGGGGGNGGGGGGGGGGGGGGGGGGGGGGGGGTGGGGGTGGGATTATGTTCTTTTCCACTGATCCTCCTCCTTTCTGTAATCCGATTTTTGCCTGAATTTAGACAACGTTGTCTAATATTGCCGTTTGTGTCTGCCAGCAATTTCTGCACCTCAGTGGCTGTTTGTCAAATGTTCGGATCTCATCAACCGCGCCAGGTTTTCCCAGTCCATAAAGCAGTGGTTAAATTGAATGTTCCTCAATGTACTCTCGCCTAATTATGAGCCCTTTACAATGTTCACATGAGGTGAAGTTCAATGTAGAAACCACTTTCCGTTTAGAAGCTTTTGTTCCCAGTAAATAGTATTTGACAAAAGAAACGTACTTCATAATTGTATTCATCTTTGCCTCGTTTCTGGTGTCTGTCTTTCTAAAAAATTAACCAATAAACGGCATGTAGGTTTATCCAAGTACAAAGGTGAAAGGCACTTTCCATCTTTCAGAGCCCTCTATCCTCTCCCTCATAATGGAATTTGACATTGTGCATACCCTCTAGATTTGCCTTTTTCTCAGTTGAACGCACCCATTGCTTGTCTGAAATTTGACTCTTTTTACTCCATCGATTATTTCATTCAAGCACAAATACTCGTTCAGGTGTTAATAACTGTGATGCTTTTTCACTCTTTTGCTTATTTTAAGTTAGCTTATTTTAATATGAATTTTCTGCTTCATATCAACTGAGTCCACCACAATGACATTTTGCCATTCAATGGTACTGTGGGGTGGGGTTTATTTGTTTATTTTGTAATAATTGAAATCAGTTGCTATATCGTGTCGTTCCTTTTTCGGCCTTATATAGCTTTTTGATACGTCTATATAAGCTTAAACATTTCGTTCTTCACATCAAATAGTACATTTCAATTAGCTTGTTAGGGTCATTCCACTTGGACGCCATTTTGAGGTTAATTTGCGTAGCGCCGTTCCTTGCAGACGTTGATTTATTAACGCAGTTCGTTCTGGCTTTTTTATTCTGTTCTTTTAAAGCTCTTATGAATATGAAATGCTTTCTACGACTACCTCAATAAGTTTTCTACTATCATGGCTTAGATCTCAATCAAGATTTGTTTATTTGTAAAGATAAGTACACCTAACGATACAAAAATCCCCCCCCCCCTATTGCGATGTCCATTGACCCAGCCAGATCACGAGTATATTGATTAATAAAAAAATTAGGTGTTGTTCGAAATAAGGGGGAGGTAAGACTTGAAAGAATGGGCTAGTGTTAAACTAGCGGATCAGCTGTGTCATGACGAGTCTGTGTCGAGCGTAAGTTGCTATCACCTCGTTGCACTTTGGGCACGAGGTAGCAATGCGCTGCATGTTCTGACTTATTCCTTACTCCCTCTTGAATTAGCCTCTTTCTGGGCCAATATTTAATCAATAAATATAATTATTCTTACTGCTAGATAATTATCGACAGATTTTGAATCTTTTTTTAGCAGATTAATCAAATGTCTAGTTATAAGTCTGTACTAAAAAAAGGAGCCTTAGAAGTGAATCTCCGTATTTTCCATAATATTGGTTTGTGATTTTCATGACTCGATTCTGTTTACTAATAAGTTCCTTTATCTACTGGAAGATACCCGGAGGAATTTGAGCAATTTAGCGTGGTTCGATGCCGCTTACTTTCGTTATATACTTTTCGCATCTATCTAGGACTTGCATGGCCTCTCTGTTGTCCTTTTTTGTATAAATTCGCTTAATGGTTTCTTAATCTCGATTTGTCTTCCTCTTCCCTCAGTCGTGAAAGCCTCTTCAGAATCCTCAAGGCCTATACAATTCGTCATCCCAGCAAGGGCTATTGTCAAGGTCAGGCTCCGCTAGCAGCTGTTCTCCTTATGTTTATGCCTGAAGAAGAAGCCTTCTGGACATTCACAGAAATCTGTGAACGTTATCTTGTATCATACTACGACGAGGGGCTTGTAAGGAATTCGCTTTTTATTAATTTCATAAAAGTAGCATTATTTGATAATAGTGAAAGTGTGGTATATTTCGCCACAATGTTAAGATGTTATTTTGTTTTATATGAAATTGAAATTATAATTCCTCATTTTACTTTCATTTAAGATGATATTCAAAGCTGCAGATTAATTTTTTGTGTAATAATAATTATTACCTTCAGTTCTTAGAGTTAACTTTGTTTCCATTTCACCGTAACGTCTAGATATAGGCTAACAAGTAGCCAAAACTTGGTGTAGGCTAATCTTTCAATTTCCTTGATTAAATCGCTTTCATTCCTCAGAAATCATCAACTGAATTAAATTTGCCTATTTCTATAAGCTAATGTGCGTGGACGAAATGTAATATAATACCTATTATTTTACTAAGGAGGGCCGTAATTATTTTCAAACACTACTATGATCTGTTATGGTTCAACTAATACTCCTCATATTCAAAATGACATTTCTTTAGGTCCACTTGACTTTTGAAAAAAAGGCATTATTTTCTAAGATTGAATTGAACTCGTGTTATATCCTCAATTTTCAAAAATAAATTCTTCAGACGGAAATAAGTATTTCTGAGTTTGCATTTTCTGACCATTTAGTTTGTCTAATCCATCATATTGTATTGTGCTTGCGCATGGTGCTTCGTAAACGTCGTTCGGAAATGCGGTTGGACGTAGTTGTGTGATCTAAATTTCCTTTTTGATTGCCAGAATTATTTCACTAGAGGCTCTAATAATCAGCAAATGATAGAGAGAAAATTTTTTATAAAGTATTGCCTTTCGCATCTTTATTTGTATCAAAATAAAACAGATAAAGTTACTTTTTTTTATTAAACCAGGGATAAGCAGAACCAGCAATCGTTAAAATAGGCCAACGTCTTACATACCTTGAAGAGGAATCAGGCACATAACGAAATTAGACGATGTATTAAATCGTTTGATTGGATGATTGTAGCAGATAATTTTGTGCCACCAAATGTGTTCATTCACAACCCCTAAATCGATTCGCACAGATTTCTTTAATTCTTTTATCAATGCCATTCACTTTTAGTTGTTATTAACTAATTAAGGCTTATTTTCCTCCTTAATGATGCATCCAGTTAAGAAGTTTTTCATGCTGGGTAAACAGACCATTTATTCCTCACAATTTAATCCGAAGTAGCTAATTAGTGTCTTTTTGTTTTAAATTACTAATGAATGTTTTTTGAGCAGCTGGAAATTTAGACGCTACAGTACCTAATCGGCTTTTATTCTCTTATAGGAGCTCATTCAAATTGACGGTCAAATTTTATATGGACTTCTTAAACGTCTCTTTCCCCATATCTACAAATTTTTGGTGAGTTGAGTTGCGGTGTGTCAATTTGGTAATGCTCACCTTGCTGTCTGATTTTTGGTCGCTTTTGAGTTTCTCCTAGTTTTTTCTTAATGCCTTTGGAAATCTAGCGAACTCTCTTGTATGTCTAGATTCTGGAATAGTTTTTAATTACTTGCTTGAGCAGTAATGAGTCTACTTTAGTGTAGAGACAGTCGCTTGCCAGACTGCCCGCCGTAGGCATAACGTGTCTGGTTTATTTAGTCAAAAGTATTGTTTGTAACCAATCAATAGATTTTTCTGGCCTTGTGGGATGCCCCGGCTAAATATCAGTCGTGATAATTCGTAGCCAAAAGTGGTCTAAAGTGAATTAATACACCTCCAGTTTGCAGAATGTCTCTACCAGTAATGCAATTTGCCCTTAAAATAAACTCACAATGCTTACGTGTAATATACCTATTGTTGGCTTTTCTTTTTCCCACAAGTTTGTGTCCACTTTTAAAAGTGTGGTTTTCAATTCATTAACATGCTTATCATAACTTCTTATTTCTGTTTTCTTCATGTAGATGAAACATGGCGCCGAACCGATTATGCTGGTGGTTGAATGGTTCATGTGTGTCTACACGCGTACTCTTCCCTGGTGCTCCGCTCTCCGAGTTCTTGATATGTTTTTCTGTGAAGGTATGTGTGTTTATTTGCGCCTCAACTCCTAATAATTTCATGTTGATTTGTTTACGAAGTGGTCAATTGTATGATAGTTGTGTTTCACTCTTTTCCTTTTGCTCTTCTACTCTCTCCGCATGTTTAAACTTCCTTTCACATTAGCTAATGCCTGGGAAATGTCCCATCTCATAACTTTTGGTGGTTCATAAACTTGGTTGTGCTTGTTAATCAGAAAGCCCACCAACCTTAAACTGCTTGTTTAGATCTTGATAAATGTTATTCTTACTCCTCTGCTTTTCTTACAATATCTACTCTTGAATTCACTAAATTTTGGCATTATGTGTGTGTGTGTGTTCGAGCTTAACAAGGGCTCTTGACTGATCGGGTTTTTCAGTCAGTGATCTCATTTGTGCCCACATTTTTTCGTACCACACACCTTTACTATATGTGAGTAAACGGAATTATCTGCATTTCAGTGAGAATTCAGTAAAATCTTATATGTCATCCTAGTATTCCTCAGTGCTCTGTTTAGAGTTTTGCGTGCTTTTGTATAATTTCCTCGTAGCTCTACGTCCTTAGCTCAATCAAGAAGCCCGTCCCTTTTACTCCCTTTCTTGGCATCTTTACAATAGCAATTACTATCCCAGAAATGTTATTTGCCTTTTGTTCTCCAACCCCCTCCCCCCCCCCTCTCGGCTTTATATTGATTTGGGGAAAGGGGTTAAAAGGTGATGAAACGCATAGGAATCGATTATTTGATTACTTCAAAGTGTCGAAAGAATCGAGTTTGCAAGAGGCAAATAGAAGTAGACAATTAAATTCTGCCCTTTTCGAATGCTACATTCCTCTAGAATGCTACCCTTGGATTTGTAATTGAACCCGACTCGCCAGTTGTGTCAATTTTTCCCATCCCTCCCTCCCCCCTTCGTGACACGGAAAATTAATTTAATGTGGTAAAGCTCACTACGTTTCACTTAACCTTTTTTTTGGTTAATTTAGGTGTTGTTTTATTTTTTATCGAACTAAAACAAATGGCCCTCCCAATTGCTTATCTCTTGTCAACTGTCAGAAACTAACAACCTTCTTTTACAACACAGGAATTATTAATTGATTATCTAGTATTCTTACTAGCCCCCAACTCTATTTAAATAAGAAATGATCAAATGATGTTTGTATCGCTTCTTGAATTGTTGATTTCATAGGACGTTAGGATTAATTTCTGCAAAATACCATTTAGTTGTTTTTTCCACCACGTATGTGTTTAATACGTTCACATACGATATATCTCCTTTAATGAATAACCATTTCTTTCGTATAAGTGATGGGAACGAGGACAAGTGACTAGAACCAACTTGTATCATGATTATTTGCTCCCACGGTAAAAATGAGGAGATTATCATTGCTCTTGAATACCATAAAAAGAATTCGGCATGAACTGAAGTGTTGCAATGGAAGAGCATGAGGTTATTGTGGCTGCAGGTAAGGAACATAACGGACGATCTAATCTGATTACATTCGCACCACAGATTTCTTGCAGGAAATGGCGTTACGAACCCTGGTATCGGAATTCGAGCTGGAATTCAATGGGGTCTTTCGCTGATACATATACAGCAATCGTCGCAGTGATCACCTTTTCACAGAAAGGACCAATGAAAATGGTCTGATCCTACTGTCATAATTAAGGTTTTTACCAAGATGAACAGTATAACAGGCAGAATATGGGATGACTTGCTTACCGTTTGAAGGATTCTCTTCTAGTCATTTAGCCGAAATTTGCCAAAGCATTCATGATTTTTGTATGTGCGTCTTCCTCGCCGTATACAATGTGCAGCCTCCCTCTCCAGTCGTTTGAAGCGGCCCTTTGATTGAATTCAGATCCTAACCGGGATTGCTGTCCATTGTAGTCGGCCACTTGAATAGCAGCAGCAAGTTTAGGTCCCTTCCTTATCTCCGGGAAAATGAAAAATGATAGTCTGACAATCTTTACGACTGCACCAATTCAAATGCTTGTCCTCCATACTCCACCCCTCCCCCCTCTCCAGATTTTTTTCTGATTGACTGGCATATGAAAGACACTTTCAAAAAAAGACATCAATTTACCATGCCATTGCTACAAAAGTCGGATTAATTGGCTGTTTTTGGGGCAAATTACGAGACCTTCCATTGAAAAGTGTAAAATGAGTTGAATCCATGTTCTAGGAATCGGGCCAGTTTGAGGCTGTAACGTGTATTGATGAGGGTTATTTTGAGTAAAATTCGTTGAAAATATTCGAATTCCCTCGCCTATTAAATTCATGTTAAATCTTTTTATGTCTCCTTTCACCATCCACTTCTATTTTCTTGATGACATTACCACGTTTATTTTAAGTGGCATTATCTTTCATGATTTGGTTGACAGGTCTAATATATAATTGTTTTAGGCAAAATCATAATATTCAAAGTCGGTCTGCTACTGCTATATCGATGTTTTCACAGTTCGACCTTCCGTAAACAGTGCGGAGGAATCGATGAAATTCTTATGCAAGCTCAGACCATTCCTTCTCAACTTGACAATCCTGAGGAGCTTGTACACAATGTAAGTAATCTTGCTACTTAAACGCTTATAAGTAGCGGAGTTGTAAATACCTGATATTCACTGTTGCTTTACAGATTCTCCAGATCAAGATAGATCGACGGCAAGTGGCAAAAGAAGTAATGAAGCAGAGTCAACGGTGGCGAACGCGGATGAGTACAGTTCATGAAAAATGAAAAAGAGAGAAAGACCAGTGAACTTTGCTTATCTTTAATTTCAATCCCCTCTGCGAACGCATTTATATAAAAAGTCAACATCATTCTTAACTCAAGTGATTTCGCAGAAAGTGAATATTTGGATCATAACATGAGCTTATTGTCCGGCACTTTATGCGCAGGTATGTAAAATGTTTACAAAGTTCATGAGAATGACAAGCCATCCAATTTCCCCCTTCTCCCTGCCCTTGTCTTTTACTCTTTCCTGTCCAAACCATTTGTGCCTCTCCCTTCTTTCTTTTTGTCATTTTGCTTGGCTTATCTTTTTCTTTGATCCCGTCGCCCCATATTGTTCTTATGACTGTCTTTATCCGTCAAGTTCTCTTTGCATTATCTTTCCTCGTAATAAATGCACTTGCTGACATCATCTCAGTCAGTGACTGACTGTTTTCAATGTCTTGCAGATTGATCACTAAATCTCCGGTTTTTACAAATACTTGTAAATTTGATCAGTTTGGACATTTAGATCCCTAATTTCATTAAATCCGCTGAAAATGATTCGCTACTCAGATACTTGATTTTGATTTTAGTGTTCTCCTTAGTCATCTCTGAGACTGGTGCATTTTCATTGCTTATATTTAAAGCAATTTAGGTAGTCAAACTGCTCATAATTGGGTGCCCTTATAACGTGTCAGGGAAACCACAATATACCCCAGTGGACAAACTAGTTAAACATAAAGTGGTGACAAGGCTTTATCTCTCAATTAATCGTTTTTTAGGGGCCCAACAAAGTCAGGCTCTGAGTTAGTTGCTTTTAACGCTGATGATTTTCCATACATCACTGTTTTCCCAAATCCGAAGGTCAATAATTGGATTGGGCAAACATTGAACCTTGCATGGTTGCTATTTTAAATACCAGAATACTACGATTGAAGTGGAGCAGTTGTCGTAAAAACTCGAGGTACTTCTTCACTGTATATTCTGTTAATGGGTTGCGATATTTTCTCTTCTTCATTTATGGCCCTATTTTGTTAAATAGCTTTTATTGCTTACGCGTAAAATTGTTAATGAAATTTAATGGATCGAAATATAGACAACATTTCATCATAAAATGATTTACCAATTATTTGTACCTAATCGCTCAGTTTGAGTATCTACCACGTTGGCAGTTTGATCTATATTCTGCTCAGATAGATGGCGTAGAGCCCTTATGCGAGGGATTATTTCGCTTTTCAGTTGAGCCCAAAACTTCGCATTCTTCATTTTGCCCTAGATATCGGTTGTGTGTATTTCTAGTATTAATTTGTGCAAATCAAACCACCAAATAAATGTTCCACTATAACAATTATTGGTGAGAGCGAAAGTGGTTACTTCTTAATCTAAACTCTAATGGTTTCCCAAATGCTTCTTTATGATCATATAGTTACTTTAATTGAGTTTAATATCTGAAAAGCGAGTGACTAAATCGATTTTGAATATGGAGATTGTTCAACAGAATATAAACTTCTTTGAAACTTTAGGTAAGCACGGAGTAAAGAATACAGTAGGATTGAGTAGAAGGTGGGGAGCTTATATTGCTCGTTAATAGATCACTGGGGTTATTAAAGTAAAGATCTATCCTAATATCATGTTCCAGAAATTTTTGTGTGCATTTACTTTTGAATCTTCTGCGCAAATAAATCATCTAATTCAATTGACTTAATTGAACTGATCTGCACTCCTAATCTATTCTCCGTATGGATTCGTCTGTTTAATAAGCAGTCCTTTCATTATAATCTATTGATTTGTATTTTCCCCTTTATTTTATCATTCGCACATGCACATGCTTAAAATGAACCAACTACTGTGTATCTCCTATTCTCGCGGTCTAATTGATTTCAGTTTTGTGTTGCCAAGCTATATCGAATTAACTAATAACTACGTAGGCGTTATGCAAACTGCCAATAGTCATCCTAAATGGCTGTGCTTGTTTCATTCCTTTGTTTCATACTGCAGCTAAGATGCCCGTAGCAATAATGCTTTTTAAGTTATATCCCCAACCAAGTCATGCCTTTGTTGAGTTAATTCGGTCAATTGAGCTTAACTCTCTTACCCCAGTTTAAAAGGGTGCATGTACGAACGGATGATTCTGAAATTGCAGGAGTTCTGTTTGGATTTTGGCTCTTCACAGCTGCAGTATCTAAGCTATCGTATCAGACCACATGAGACACAGCGACTTAAGGATGGTTGGTCATGACCCACACACCCAAACGTGTATGGTCTGATTTCCTAAGCATTTGCAATCGACCCCATCTAGAACTGAACTTTGTTTTAACGCATTTTCTCCTACCAATTTTACAAGGACCCCATCGCATTCCACTTATTTTGCTTCCCTTGAAATTCCGATGCAGAGCAGCTCGAAGCCCTTTTTAAATTGCGCCACCATAGGAATCTTGATATAAGCTTCGAAAGATATTCACTAAATACGGTAGGATTTGAAAATTCTTCTACACAACTTTCATTACAAAACTGGCCAAGTTCTTTCTTATTTTATCCAATGTGTTTTTAAACTTCTACGTCCACGTCAATAGATGCATTTCTTGCAGAAATAAAATTTCATTTATTCGATATCAAAGGAACTATTGATTTCGATGACGTCTTTCATTAGCAAACAGTCTTGATCTTGGCCTTCAGGATTAGTTTCTATTAATTCAATTACTTCATTAATTTACGCCATTTAGCTATTGCTGTGAAGTTCAATAACCACCATAATGGTGATGAATGCAATGTCTCCAAAGGACACAACCCCCAGAGATCAACCTTGGTAGCTTTAGTTACTCCAAAACAATTGGTTAATTTTACAAAGACTTCATAATTGCCATGTAAGTGGTGTCGGTATGATGAACCAGAGTAGGATATGCTTGCAAACAGCATTTTAGGGCAAGTGGTTACTGACACGTACTGTAGGGATTAACTGGTACGCTCTTTCCTTCCTCTTACCGTCTACTTTCATCACTTTTCTCCTTTTCTTCCTTAAACTCCTATTCCACTCAAGACACCTGATTATTTAGAAGAATAGAAGCTCTTTCATGTGCCTAACGGTTGAAGGTCAACTAACCCTCTTTTAAATGACAGAATTATCAAGCTCCCTGGAGTTTGCTTGCACCTGCGTAGTGTTTGGACTCTGGCACAACAAAGTCCGCAGTCTAAAGTTACGTTTGTCGGAGCCCTTTCTATATCTTACGGTTTTATTCACATGAATTTGCCTTTATCAACCTTTTTATATATTTTTGCTCAACTTAACGTCAGTTCATCTTTACTCCGTGTACCCATTCTTTCGTGGTATTTGCCATTCTCCGTTCATCAGTGTTGCTAAAAGTGCTCTGATTATTTATAGCTTTACCAAAATCATTATTCTAACATTTAACCAATTTTGATTTTCATAAAATTAACCATCACTAACTTAATGTGTGTTCACCACCAGACTCCAAAATCATTTCGATTTACTCTAATTGGTTTAAATACTAGCCATTCTGAGGCATATCATAAAGGCCGAATGAATTTCAAGTTTGTGGTCGCTTTTATAAACATCACGCGGCTACCGAAGTGGTGCCTAACTCCGATAATGTAAACAAGCACGGGTCCACCAAGCGGAGTCTTTTTTCTGGACCATACCGGGGTGCCAGCAGCTTTTCATGACGCGAAATCGGTATCACTCGAGAATCATGTTTTTTGGAGTAAAGTGACATGAGATAACTTGCGCTCGCATTCCTGCAACTCGCTGACAGCTTGCATTCAAAGCAACCTAAGCATGAATATGACTCAGTAAAAAATCACTTTTGGAACCGATCTCGTTAATTCCAATGTCTATTAAATTCCTTCGAAGCGTTGTCGATTACATTTGTGACAACCAACCCCCCCAAAGTGATATGTTGTTGAGCCTTTCCTAAATTATAGGACATGGAATAGGCCATAGAACCTCTCTTTCCCTTTATGAATTATCGTTATGAGCAACTCGAAACCCAGTACTCATTTATGTCTATTGGTTTAACGCATTCAAGTTCTCTTTCAAATTCTAGCTTTTGTGCTGAAAATTTAGTGGTCCACGGATATGTGCTCACTGTTTACACCTCCAATTAGCATTTGGAAGTGTTAATTATAGAGAGTGCTTGTAGCACACATGTTTTGGCGTGAGTAATTGCGTAATGGAGCACATCTGGTGAGAAACTTGCATTCTACTCCCCACCCCCCACTGTTGACTTACATTATGTAGTACAGTTGTGAAGAAAATATGCATATCGAACTTTTGCACACACGTAGACGGTTGTCGGTATAACAGTGGCTAAAATATGTAAGAGTTGAAGAGAACTGAGGTAGAATAGAACAGAGAGAAGACTTCTTAAGTGGGTCGGCCCCACTGTTCAAAATACACCACTTGACGACATGTGAAAGTACCCTACGATGAACTTGAGGTCACCGCATGCTTAAGCTCTTCACGTGCCACTATTAGCTTGGTAAGTCTTGAGGTGGCGGCAGGGTCAAACACGTCAGACACTACTGCGAGGTTGAGATGTTTGGATTCATCTTTCACTACTATGCCACATTCTAAGGTCAAATAGACATTTTGTAAATCATTCTCTACCTCATTCATGGACAAATTTCACTGTGTTAATGACTACATCGACTTATTTGCAGATAAAGCAAATTAATTTGCTTTAAGAAGGTCAGTTCCAATCTTTATTTCCCTAAGAACAGGATTTCCAGCCACTAAAATGCGTGTTCTAATTAAATAAGCACGTGAATAACATTTTTATTTATTCCAACACTGCTGATATTGCTGATATTCCCCAAGTTGCAGTATTTCTACTTCATTCACCTTGACAAATTCATCGATTTTTCCTGCCGTCACTTGGTAGTTTTACTGACTACAGGCCGTCACCCTACTCTTCTCTTCTTGTAAATTCAAAGTATTAAGAGTTCAGGGAAGCATCCCTAAGTCACACCTATAAGAATTTTGTAAACTAGCACCTCCTTTGTTTATTAGAATTCAATTCTGACGTGGTCCGCCCACATAACCGATATGCGCCTATCTCGTGAGCCCTAACTACCACATTCACGTTAATTTCCGTGAATAATTTAACACTTTTTATACCTCCACCTACTTCTTACGACAGTGGAGCCCATACAGTTCGGAGGAGAGAAAAGCTTCTATTAGTAATCTCCACCAGACAACATAACAGAGCTCATATATGTATATATATGGGAAAAATTGTTTATCAGGATCATCATACAATAGGAATCACTTATGCATAAAACAAAATATAATCATGTCAACTGATAAAGACAAGAGTAGTTGAAGAGAGCTTATAGCTTAGCTCCCCAAAGTAAGACTTCTTTAAAACACATCACCGTCTCGGTGGAGCCGGAGGTGGTGTCGCATTCGTAGAAAGCGGTGAAAGACAAGGTGCAGCAGCAAGCGACTCATCCGGCCGGAGTTGATCGATCACATTGGCGACTGGTTGTCGTTGTTGTGATGGTCTAGACCGATTAGTGCGTGGAGGTGGAGGCGGGGGAGGACCAAGGCAAAGAACATTCGGCGTGGTGAGTTCTCGGGGATCCAAATTGACGGTGCGCTGGAGATTGCATTTTTTGCGCAGTTGGACTATATGATCGGTAGTTTGTCGTTGATTGGCGCGCAATTCGATTTCTGCTGCTGTCATGACTTCTTCCATGGAGTCTAGCCTAAATATTAAAACAAAGACAATGTCCGCGTCATGCTATTGAAATAACCACCCCCATCAACAAATATGTTATGCCATGAAAATCCAATATAAGGTTCAAATTTGGAAAGACAACCCCCTTCCCCACACACAGAATTAATGCTCCACCAAAGGCGTTTCTTCCAAACGAAGGGAAGTAATCATTGAGTTTGATCGCACGCAAATATGGACAAAGGAGAAAATAGAGAAAATGGCTAAATTGGAAATGAACGGCGTTAGTAATCACGTGATTTTCTTTCCAATTTTTACAAAGCTAGCGATGATCATGTAATTGAAGAAAAAAACTTTCCCACAAACCATTAAGAAATTGGAAATCAAGATCGACTTCAGAAGGATCCTCAAAATTGCGGATTATAGAAAATTTGCTAACATATAAAACTCAGGTTAATCAAAAAGAACAATTAACACCCACTTAAAATGTGTTCCACACTAATGGGTTAGTTGATATCAACCAAAGTAAGCATATAGAACTACATGTTATTTAACCAATTGTATTATTACGACAAACTATTACAATTATTGAATAATGGATTCCGTTGAGAGCGACACTGGAGTTCAAATTTAAAAAAATTACAGAAAACAACAAGCATCTTTAGGCAATATTGTCATTCATCAAGCGTCAGTTGAATTATTTCATTTAATATGACGTCACTTTCAAGGAGAGGCATGAGAGAGATGACAGATTTGCTGTAACCGTACTACTGGCTGTAGCACAGTGCGAAAGTGGGCAATACAGCACTGGACCGTATTCTAATCAGTGGTGTAAGTGGGTTTGACCTTGATTGGCAATTTTTGCGTGATGGTTTTGAATCGGTACATAAAATTCAATGCCTATCCTTAGACGAGTACACTAGCGAATGGAGTGATTCGTCTAATAGGCACGAAGGATGTAATGCTTAATAGTTCTGTGCAAATATATTACAAGGAAAAACATGCCAGATATCTCAAGTAATGAGAATACTATACCTAAAACATAAACATTACATTACAGGGACCAAAGAAATTAACTCCCAGAAGTACGACGAAGTTTTACGAGACGAATATGAGGGCGATTAGTAACAGTTGGGCAAATTTACATTTCAAAGCAAAAATGAAAACCAAGGAGGGCCAAAACGAATCGCTATGGATTGGGAAGAGACGAAGGAGGAGGGGAGGTGGGTGACCTTTTGAGAGAAGGAACTAGCAAATGAGAGGAATTCGTTTACACTTGTTGGCGTAACTTGAAAGGAGAATTTAGTTTGGTGATAAGCGAGTAAAAAAAACAAGGAAATTGTTAATCGATTGGAGATACATAAGGTGAATGGTGGATTAGTTGAATTTATTTGACTGAGATGAAAACAGAGGAAATAAAATGAATGCTTAACCCCGGGCTGGGAACATCGCCTTACAATGCGATAAATAAACACTTCAAGCAATGCTCAAATACGATCCATAATACTCCCTGCGAGAAAAAGCAAGATCCATGAGATTACAGAAAGCAAATGATTGAGATTTGAAGAAAAAGTTTATCAAATAGCACCAACTTGCACATGACCAGGGGTGTTCGTAAATGTGAAACAAGTCGATCACAAGGATTAAAGTACATGGATAACGAAATTTACCACATGGCATTTTGCTTCAACCACTACAGTGATACAGGCGCAAAGAAATACGGACTTTTCTAATACAAAATCTACAAATGTTCCTCGTGCAAATTACGAAGGGTTTTGAAAATTGAATTCAGAATGAAAAGAAAATTAGGTCATTGCGATATGAGAGGTGAAAGAGATACCGCTCAATCGATTTATTAGTTTCATTTACGTCTATTTAATCAAAGAGCAAACTGGTTACCTCCTCGTCAAAGAGAAAATAGTCAATGGACCTCAAAGAAGTAACGAAACCATTAACTTAATTTTTTTTGCTGGCACTTCTGACTTCATTTGTGGACTCCTCTAAATATTTCACAAAAGCCCATTGGACAAAGAGTAACATTTATAATTGCATATGTGGTCATTTTAACTATTGCAAACGATTGTATCAGATAATTAACCTTGCGTCATCAACATTCTAAAAAGCACAGTGCCGCTGCCCTTGGTTATTCACAAAACCGATGCAAACATTGTGTTATTTCCTGTATATTTCATCTACTTAATTGAGGAGCTTGTAATAACGTTATAGTTTTAACAAATATTGACAGAAAGTAATAAAAAAACACAGTTGCAAACAGAAAAAACGCTGCTGGGATTACTCAGTACTCGAGAATTCCTCCTTATACACATGTGCTTCGCTTTTCGTGTAAAAAGCCAATGGTGCATGAGAATCTCTACTCGTGGCGGAGGCGAAGCATTCAGATTCTCAACCAAATTAATAAATTAAGTTACATAGGGGCATCTTCAATCTAAACTCGAGAAACATGGAAAGGCTAATAAAAAAAGTTATAGATAACTAGAAGACGAAAATCAGTTCGCACTAGAAATAACGACAAGTACTCATGAAATCTTCTCAGGGTTGACACAAGTGAAAACAAGTTCATCACATGCGGCGTGTTGGTAAAGTAGAAGTTTGATTAAAAATAATCATAGGCCTAAATACATAAAGAGAATTAAGTGTAAACACATCAGGGAAAGTTTATATCACCACCATAAAAAACTCATTGGAAGTCGATTTAACACTAATTTTGGACAGGGTAGAGTTTTAGAATCTTCTTGATAAAAGCTCCGATTTCGTTGTCCCTTAATCGGCCAGGACTAATTCCTCAAATTGGGCCAACACCTAAACACCCAATATTATAGAAGTGGAGTAAACAAAAGAGAAAATGATACAGGCTAAATATATAGTAGCATCAGCCAGAGGATAGGATCACAGCAGATCACTATATGCGAATGTGTCGATGTCTAAAGCCTGAAACGTATACAATTATCCCTAAAGCGAGGTAATTAACTAGTAATAACAGGATAGAGTGAAGTCTTCAGTTGGACTGAGCTGTACGGACTACAACAATATTGATTTCCATCCCCAACTCAATAGAAATCAAACCAAAATGGTGAAGTTGAAAACTGCCAAATGCATACCAAACACTGTTATGCTGTTGGCGGGATCACTATACCTCAGGAACAATGATAACCGAAGATTCTCGGTTCCCAATTTCCGGTTGCTTAAAATCAAGAAAGGTTGAAACATTGAATACCAGATGGCACTCACGACGTTGGCACAAAATTCAACGCGTGTCTCGATGCTTTCGTCAGAGTTAAGTATTCAATGAGAAACCTCCAATCCCATGGATGAAAGGTGCTTACAGTCTTATAAAATTTCTTCGCCACAGCTATAGCTGTGAATCTGCTTGGCTGAATAAGACAACGGCGTTGCATTTCTAAAGATAAATAGTCATATGAAATAACATCAATCAACGGGGCTCTCAGTAATCAGAAAGAAGTTCTAAACACGAGACAATACATTCAATAAATTTTGCCAAACTGAAGTAGAATTTTAAAAGGCATCCAGAATGAGTCCAACAACTACGACGACCAAATCGCCTCTAAGTCAGACTATAATCATGCCCACAAAGGTAAGCCACCACCGGGCTAATGCAAACTAAGAAGCAGTTATTACTATCTTGACAGAAAAAGGTCCCAAAAGAAACCTACTTCTGGCCAATGGCAGCGTAGCGTCCTTTGGTATCAGCAAGAACATCGGGCGCGTCAGCTGAATGAAGAGTAACTGGGATTCCATCACGCATCTGTTGATCAAATTCCTGCTCTGTCATTCCAAGGGACTCATGATTGAGTTTCTTGATAAACTCCACTGCGCAACACTACAAAAAAAGAGGAACTTAAAACATTCCAATTTTAGGTTGCACAAAACAATATTTGGCAATTTGTGTCCTGCTTATGGTCAATGATGATTATGAAGAGTAAGGAGTAGTTAAGGCGCATGAAGTGGTGATAAAATTCGTTGCTAGTCTCAATTACTAACTAGGGTTGCACTAGGCTGTTAATAAATCAAAGTGATATAGACGACCGCAGAATTAAAACCACTTAACAAACCCATGAACCGTGGAGTCAGGAAATTACTAAGTTACCATGGCATATAATAATTCGAATAAAAAACTCGTGCTGCCCTGAACTTGCCATCCATTTCTTTTCGATCGCCGCTCAATTTCCCCACCTGGTTTAAGTTGCCCGTTCTCCTTACTCATCATCAAATCCCGATTCAAGCATAAATGATTTTTTCATTCCCTTGGATAATAGAAAAATTATTGAGGTGAGTTCAAATCGGTGCACACAAAAGTAGAAGGGATGCATAACTGAATAGGTTAACGGAAATTGAAATCTAATTTTGTCATTAATGATATTAGTAAATTCGTCCCACAGTTCACCCCCCCCC